TTAGAATAGTTATATTAAAGGCTAGGCAACACTTAGACCTAAAGTTGATAATTCTTGCTCTACACGTTTGCCAAGTAACTCCACTTTGAAATCATGGAGACAACATTATATAAACATTTTTACTAATTATAAACCACAATATATTTTTTTAATGTTACTTAGCATAAAAAAACACCCCATTTAACAATCTTGCACAAATTAGATATAGTACATTTCATACTATTATAAAAACACATTTATAAAACAACTATATAATATATATCACCACATACGCGTTTTTATCAAAAAAATTTTAACTTTGAGCATATTATACATGCAAACATATATGCAAACTTTTAACAACTATAAAACAACATTTATTAGCATCAATTATTTTTAATGTAACAAAGAATGCAGACTACAATGCACAACATTGTTAATAAAAATGAAGTTATCTCAGTCAGTATATATTTATCTAAAGTAATGGAAAAGAATAAACCATTTAAAAACAAAATTAAAAATTTCTAATTAATATATATTTAGATACCTTAAAAAAAAGCATAACACAACACTCTTTTGACAAATTCCAGAACAAATTTTATTAATTTTTCTATTCCTTATTATTTTTCCTTAGAGAAAAAATACATATAGATATAGAGAATTATAAAATAGACTGAAATAAACGCAAACTTATGTATATAAACTTACATGACCACAAATAACAGTTTTATTTTATTTAACTTTTCATATTAAATACATACAATAAAATTTTATTCTCATTATTCTTTCTATAAAAAAAAATATTATAGCCTATATATGAGAAAATGAATTAAATTTACTAAAAAAGCGATCAGTTCCTCTTAACTGCTCTAAAAAATAAAGCAAATACTTGCTTAAAATGTTTTAAAAAGACTGAAAAAAGAAACATTGTACTAATAAAACTATTTTACCAGTCAACTTAGTTTTAACTTCTTCTAAAAAACGAAAAATAAATACATTTATAGATACCTTAAAATGAAGCATAACACAATGTGTGTGTGTGGGGGGGGGGGGGGGAAGGATGGGGGTAGGTTGATCCTCTTTTAGGAAAGAATTATATATATAAAATTCTATATAAAATAAAGTTTTATATATATATTTAATATGAAAAGTTAAACAAAATAAGACTGTTATTTGTGTTCATGTAAGCTTATATACATAAGTTTGCGTTTATTTTAGCCTATTTTATATTTCTCTATACCTATACTATATGTATATTTTCTCTTAGCAAAAATTATTGAGAATAGAAAAATAAAAAAAATTCTTCTGGAATTCGTCAAAAAAAATGATATGTTATTCTCTTAACTGCTCTTAAAAATAAAACAATATTTGCTTAAAATGTTCTAAAAAGACTAACGACAAAATGAAACAGTTTACTAAAAAAGAAACATTTTACTAAAAAATCTATTTTACCAAACATTTTAGTTCTAACTTCTAAAAAATAAAAAAACAGGCTATAAAAATTAGAAAAAATAAATATAAGCAACAACAAACTAACAATTATTTAAATTTTTATGTTAAAAAATAAACAACATCAATTCTTCTTGAAAATAAGTGTATCAGCTCTAATTTGCTTGCTGATTTTACTCGAAAGACCGCGTGGAATATATAACTGCGCTTAGAAAAGTCTAGAAACAACTTAAAAACTAAGAAATAGTGCTAGCCTAAAGTTTTGTTACTTTGGTTATCGTAACTTATTTTTAGAGATTTTTTCTTTGCTTTTTCGCTTTTTTATAACAATGAATTTTAAGAAATTTTAAAAAAACAGTGTTAACTATGATTAGTTTATCCGCAAGTAGCATTTGCTTTATAAGTGTCCCCATTTGCCCCGCTCTACCTTAACTGTGGTAACCTTAAATAATGTTTGATTGTCCCAATAATTTTTTTTTAATCATTATGCACCTCACATAAAAAGTTTAAGTCAAAATTTAAAAAAAAGGGGGAAATGGAAAAGCCTACGGTAAGTCTGGCAACCACAGGCTCTTGCTTTTCTATGCACAAAAGTTAAATTGAGTTTCTCATAACAACATTATAGTTTTTCTTATACCAAAATTTAACCGCAATAGGTTTTAAGTTTTTTTTTTTTTTGTAATTTGCTATCTGTGCTTTTTTTTGTTGGTAAAATAGCCACAAAATAATAAATATTCAAACACAAACTCTGTTCTACTACTGCAAAACGAATTAAGTGTTCGCCGATGTATTTTACCGATGACATAAAAGTAAATTGTTTTTTTTTTGAGTTATTTGAACTAATTATTCATTTGTTACACATTTTAACTAATTATTTTAGTTAATTACCGTTTTCAAATAAGTATAGTTAGTTTTCATGATTCCTAATTAAAAAAATAAGTTTAATATTACAAACATATATTTTTAAATATTAAAAACTCTCAAAAAGTAACTCCAAACTTATTAATTTCAGTTTGCTTGCATATGAGTCAAAAAGCAGTGTCACAGATATGGCATACTAAAATAGAGAAATGGTCAAATCCAAGCATCATAAAAATGTTTAAATTTGCATCAAAGCATCAAACAATGTTTGGTCAAATGAAATGGTCAAATCAAAGCATCATAACAATGTTTAAATTTCAGTTTGCTTGCAAATGAGTCGAAAAGCAGAGTCACAGATATGGCATACTAAAATAGAGAAATGGTCAAATCAAAACATCATAACAATGTTTAAATTGGTAAACTTATGAATGTTTCTGAACTTTGCGTGCAAAAAACAGTGAAAAACTAGTAGTCTACAGGTGACGTCATCAAAATGTCTTGTTCTGTAAGAACATATAAGCTTAGTGACCGCAACATAAGTAATTAGTAGACAAAATCCTAGGCTCAGCGACAAAAAGCTCAAATATTAAACCAATTCTTTTCTGATTGAAATATAAGCAGAGATTTTGTAAGAAGATCATAAGCAAAGAAAAGTATGTGTCATGAATTGCTAGAAGAAAGCCTATCCATCAATCATGAATCAATGCAAATGACAAAAATGGTGCAAAGAAAATTTGCATTCGACAGTTAAAGATTAGGCAATAGCTATGGAGCGATGAATAAAATGTTTAGGTCATAAATCGCAAATAAAAAATCTAAGATTAAAAATTTTATTTTTTATTTTAGATTTAAAAGATTTGCCACTGAGAAATATTGTAAACACTACTTACAAACAAGATAACGATGCGGTGGAAGCTCAATAGGAGTATGGGGATCTTTTTCTGATGTCCTTTATTTTGTAAGTCGTTATAAAAATGGCTGGATCAACCAATATACCTACAAGAACACATTAGAAACACATTTAATTTTAATGACAAGACAATTACATGGCAAATGCAAGCAGTACGTTTTCAAGCAAGCGGAGATCCAGCATTTAGTATAATACACTGCTTTAGCACAAAGAAAATAAAAAATTGTTGTCTTGGTGCTCTCGATCACCAAATCTCAACCAAAATTGAAAATATTTGGTCATGCATTAATGCTTAACTGGTAAATCATCAAAATCAATAAACTGAACATTTAAAGTAACTTCTGAACAAATATTGGTTAAACGTGCCTTGTTATTCATTGCTATTGATCCATAGGTCTGCTTGTTATTAATTGCTAATGATCTATAGGTCTGCTAGTTATTCATTGCTATTGATCCATAGGAGGACACCTTAAATAATAAATTTGTTCTAAACTTTACTTTTAATTTGTTGTTTATATTATTTTTTAATATAATTTTTTAAATTCCTTTTTTTAACTTTTTTAACTTATAAAAAGTTATACAGATAATTCTTTTTTTTTAATTTAAAAAACCTTAATTAAGTTCAGTTTTACGATATTTTTAATTGAAAAGAAAAGGCGAATATTTTAAAATATAAATACTTATCCACTTAGTTAAATAAATTAGTCGATTGAAAATACTTTTGTTCGTAACCGTTACAAAATTTTTTTAGGAAGATATTTATATTTTTTTCTAATTTTTAAACATAAGGATTTACTGAAAAAATTACTTCGCCAAGCAGAGAAATATTTCACGATATAAATAAAATATTCGATTACAAGACGTAAAATTTTACAAAAGATTTGTGGAATATATTCTGAAATGGGACAGAACTAGACAATATTCATGAAACACATTTAGACTTACGTCTTAACAACTTTATCTACAAATCAAATTATCAAAATTAAAAAACAAATTTAAAAATAGTACGCATTAATAAGAAAAAATGTGGAAGATATAAAAGCGAAGTAAAATTGCACTAAAACAATGGAAGTAAGAAAATAAAAATTTAATAAAACAATAGAAATAAGAAATACTGCATGATATTTAGGTTCTCTAAAGTGTATTAGCCTTCAGAATTAAAATGCTTTGAAATAATAAAAAATTAAAAAGTGAGTACTTATCCTTCAAGTATTCTTTTTCCACATTCAATCTTGATTGAATGTTGTGAACATCATTTTTTTTAATTACAAGAAATTTTTTATTCACGCTTGTCTCAATCCATTTTACATTTCGTTTGAGATCTTTGTAAAAATAAGCCTGTTATTGGTAATGATTCTTTTAACTCTGCTATTATTTATAATTACTGCTCAATAAAAAATTGAAATTTTAAGAAACATTTCTTGTCTTTTTATTAGGTTTCCTAAATTGCCCCAATGTTGCCCAAATCTAGCTCCTCTTTTTGGACAATGATTGTCTATGTTTTAAAACAAAAAAAAACAACTATAATTCATTTTAGCTGGGCATTGCTTTTATTTAAAATAACTGATAACTAAATTATTTTTTTCAGCAAAAAGTCAAACTGTTTGTCAAACAGTAAAAATGCAATAGCATCTTTTTTAAAAAGCATCCTAATGTGTCACCTTCTCCTCTGTTAAGTATAAAATTTTAAGTTTAACTTACGAAACTTTAAAAATTAAAATTAAAAATTAAAACTTCCACTTTTTTATTTAACTTTAAACATGTATGTACTTATTTATTTATGTGTATATTTATTTATTAGGGAGTACAAGGTACCATGACAAAAATTGAACGAATCTTGTGTATGATTTCATATAAGCATTTTATTATCGTTGGAACAAAAGAACGTCGTGTGGCTTTATATGACGCGAAGGTAAAGTGTTTTAAACATGAGTTAGCACAATTCTCGGATTCTATATTGTGCATATTACATACACGGGGTTTGTTTTTATTTGGACTAGCTGATGGGAATATTGCAGTACTTACTACTGATGGTATTTTGAATCCAGGTATAAATATTTATTTGTTATTTTTTCAATCTTGTTACAATAACACGTTGGGCTGGTTTAAATACTTCTTGGCGTCTCGGCATTTTTGGTTTTCTGGTCTTCTGAGTATTTAAAAAATAACAGCAGTTAGAATAAAAATAAAAATAAGGGTTGTATGCTTTTTATTACACTGAAACACGTTGTTAAATGAAAATTTTAGTGACTTGTTATAAAATGAATAAAATATGCTTTATAATCTTTCGATTCTTAGATCTAATTTTTTCAAGTACATCTAATCCAGAAAGTTTACTTACTAGTTTGTTTGTGCGCTGATTAAATTCAGCAATTATTTTAGATTGCCCGGAAAACACTGTATCCTGTGCATTGTAAATTTCATTTTGACACCTTTGGCGTGCTCTTAGACAACTTTTATTGTGATTATATTTGTCAGTGTCGACTAAAAAAACGACATTCTTTTTGTAATACTCAATACTAGAGTAAATTTACTGTACGTCAAGCTGTAGGAAATTGTGTAGTTCTTTGACTATGCTCAAATCAATCTTGACGGAGTTTCAATCTTGTCGGATTGCAGTTTCTTCTTAACTTTAAATACTTAAAACTACTTTGAAATTACTATTAACTATTGAACTACTCCATATTGCTACTACAAATGATGGTAAGAATAGTCTCAAGTTGGTCTATTTTGGTCAAATATTCGATGATGTTCGGTTGCATTTATTTTCAAAGATTAGGATATTCGCTAAGTTCACGAAAAGTGGCTTAAATAAAAAGTCATTTTACCTGTAAGTTCCATAACCTTAGTGGTTCTCAGGTTAATGAATTCTTCAAAAATATTTTCGAAAGGTACGAGGTGCTTTACTTTCTTTTGTTATCGTTAAGTGTTTGGCAAAAAAAGGATCCAATTTTGGATACAGCTTGATTCAGGAAAGTTTTCCATTGTGTATTGATCCTACTTTTTTGTCCAATTAGTAGAATGATAATTCTCAGAGAAAAAATTATACATAAAGTAAAAAAATTCCTTTTAGTTTCAAAAATAGATTTTAGTTGTATTACATGAAAATTGTTTAAGTAAAATATTTAAAACTATTAATCTAAAAATATTTAAATTTTTTAATCCTTTAATTAATCCTTCCCTTGAATGCTTTTCTTCGAGATAAAAAATGCGGTGATTCTTTTTTAGTAGATGTTACTTTATCTTTTACTTCTTTTCCTGTTATTTCTTTAACCATCTTTTTTAATAGTATGTTTTATACTATTTATTGTTTTTGTTATTTGCTTGATTTCTTGAATTCTTTTTTTTTCTTTTTTCTTTTTTTTTTTACTCTTTTGTTATTCCTTTGATGATTATTGTTACTTAAAACTGCTGTTGAACGCAGATGTTCTGGCCCTTTGAAGTTTGTGGCTTTAAGCACGTGACCGGTATGACTGTGGGTAAAACCGGCCTTGACAATGCATATATTAGTAAGCTATTTATTTTTAGACAAGAACCCTCGATATATATGTTTAAACGATGAAATAAGTCGAAATCCAATTTTCTGCATGACTCAAAGTCAAGACCAGATTATATGCGGCTATGGTGAAGATATTAAAGTATTAAATTTGCCTACTTTTGATTTATTGCAAACAGTTTCTGCTACAAATGCACAAAAAAACGCAGTGTCTTCTATTATTGTTTCTCAAAATCGTTTAATAATAAGCTCTAAAAAAAGTTGCAAGCTTATGGTTTACACATATACAGGTAATAGAGTTGATGAGTCTGATATGAGTGTTTATGATTGCTCAGAGATTTTAAAAAAAGATTATCCTAATACTATCGAAAGCGATTGTTGCGTAACAACCTTAGCATTAGTGGATACTTCATCCTTATGGATTGGTTGCGGTGGAGGCCATTTAATTATTGTTAATGTTTTGAAGTCCTTTTTCCAAGAAGCTACTATTATTTTGAGACACTTAGGTGCTGTGCGTTCAATTACTTCAACACCAAAACATAGCGGAGAGCCGGTGTCTGTAATAACAAGTGGTCAAGGATTCCGACATTTCCGACATATATTAGCTTGTAGTGATGATAAATTTCTCATAAAAAATGACGTTGAAGAGTGTGAATATATTTTACTATGGGACGCTGAGGTTTTAAAGTTAAAGAAACATTTAACAACAGAGACAAAAAATCGCGACGACTTACTTACTAAACTTTCAGTTAAAATGAAAATGTTTGCAATTCCCCTCTGATTTTTCCATTATTGAAATAACATAGTTTAAAAGAAATTCCTTAAAAGTTTATGTGCAAATATAATAATATAAAAGAGTTTTAAAATCATCATCGTCATAACTGGAGATACCAAAAGTTTATCAAAAAAACACATACCTAGTATATATATGTATATATATATATATATATATATATATATATATATATATATATATATATATATATATATATATATATATATATATTTGTATACATGTATATATATATATATATATATATATATATATATATATATATATATATATATATATATATTATATATATATATATATATATATATATATATATATATATATATATATATATATATATATATATATATATATATATATATATATATATATATATATATATATATATATATATATATATATATATATATATATTATTGATGTAAGTAGGTGTTAAGCAGGGGAAACAATTAGAAACAATAATAATGACGTATTTATTTCTTAATTAAATATCTTTAAAAAAATAAATAGACCATAAAACTTATATTTTATAGATGAAATCTTTTCAAATTGTTTTTATTTAAGAGTAAACTTACTATTTTAATCTTGATACTTAAGTATAGCAATATTTTTCCTATTCTTCTCGTGTTGCGATATGTTTTAAATCAATTACAACCACTTCCTCTCGTAATTTAATCCGTAAATGTTGAATAAAAGACTTTTATTACTCTTACCATTTCTTCTCGTGATACAATCTGTTTCAAATTAAATTACTAACACTTCTTCTCCTGATTCACTCTGTAAATGTTGAATTAAAAACACTCTTCCTACTTTTTTTCTTTTTATAAAATAAAATTTTTATTTTTAACTCTTATTTGTTTTTGTAAAAAAATTTATAACATAAGGATGCCTGTTTATGTAAAAAGATGCTATTATTTACATTTAAGTACATTTAAAATAACTAAAGGGCATGAATATTCCATACTAAAGGACATGAATATTACAACTAAAGGGCATGAATATTCCATAACGTTACGCATGCGTACAAATATGTAAAAAATTTAATATAAAGCCAATATTGGTAAACAATATTTCGCCAATATTGGCATAACAATGTCAGTAAAACGATAATGGGATAATATTAACGCAAAATTGTTGGCAAATATTGGTAAAACAATATTGGCGTAATATTGCTTGACAATATTTGCGCAATATCGGATATGGCCAATATTGGCCAAGATTAGCCAAGATACCGATTATCGTGCCAATATTACGCCAATATTGTTTGCTACTTCGGTATAGTACTAAGCTGCATTATTCTTTTGAGTTAAACAGGTTATAGTCTAGGAGATGACAATGATCATAGAACACACTTTAAGAAAAAATAAATCGAAATCATTACATTTATTTGAAGTTATATGAAACAGATACAAATGAAAAAGAGAAATATAGAGTTTTCCGAAACCAAAATATAACAAAATAAAATCAATACTATTTATATACAGGTACAATATATATATATATATATATATATATATATATATATATATATATATATATATATATATTTATATATATATATATATATATATGTATATGCATATATATATATATATATATATATATATATATATATATATATATATATATATATATATATATATATATATATATATATATATATATATATATATAAACTACTGTATTATACTCTCACTATGAGATAGTGGGCATCGACTTTCATTATTTTGGCGATACTTATTTCATTGCTCAATATTGGGCGTTGCTCAGTTGCGGTTCTAATTTTCTTCCGTAATCTCTATTAATGGACGTCGCCAGAAAGCTGCCAATATTTTCTTTAATAGTTTTGTAAGTAGCGATTTCAAAATGAACGAATACAACGATAAATGACTAAACGCAATTCTAAAATATGTTTTTTTAAATATCATTACAATAAAATTTTGAAATATAAAATTTTTCACGTATAAATATTGAAAAATAATTAGCTTTAATTAAAATATTTATTTGTTAAAGGGAAATGGGATGAAAAATCCAAATATTGTGCTTTACTTATAACGACCTTGCAGGACTTTTTTGTTACCTTCCAAACACTGAGTATGAAAAACATACTTCTTATACCATTAGCTGTAATGAGATTGCCGCTGTAAGTTATTTCTCATCTCCTTTAACCAAAGAAAGAAAGTTCATTTAAAATAAGAAAAAAAATGTAATATAATTAGTTGAACTAAAAGTATAATATTTCCTCTTGTGGATGTATTAGACGGTTTTATATAATGTTATCTTATTAAAATATGACATTATGGAAGAGTAAAAGCAATTGAGAATAAATAGATTATGACATCTGAAGCGGTGAATACACCCTACAAATGTCATAGATATCTGAGATTAGTTGTCATTGCTACACAAAATACATTGCTAACTGGGCATAAAAGATAAAAATCACAATAAAATATAATAAGCATTTATCTAAAGCATTCTGATATACAACATAACTATAGTCAATCACGTATCATATTGTCTCATTTGTTTGTATGTTTCACATAAATGTGTCATGTTTTTTGAAAATTAGAAACTTTAATAGTACATGCTACTGTTTCCAAAAACTATTAACTAATATCAATTCACTGATATATACTATTGATTCATAAGGTATTGATTCATATGGAACAAAGACTTGTTCCATAATTTTCTTCAAAGTTTAGAAGATCTTTTTTCCTCTATAATCGGCAAATAAATTCTGAAAGTCAAAAAAGATAGTCAAGTAAAGCTCTGATGGAATCACTTAACCTTAAAACACTAAAAATTTCTTCAGTCTTTGAGAAACTGTTAGACAATCTCATCATTTTCACTTTTTTTTGTAACATGCATCTTTTTATGCTGGAGGCACAGATAATTCCGTTCTAAAGCAGTCTAATAACTGATAAAAAAAAGTATAAAGAAGAAATGAAACCATAATAATTAACATTTACTATATTTAAGTCAAACATAGGTGTTCAGATAAAAAACAAAGAAAATACTGTAAATAAAATAAAAACAATATTGTAAATAAGACAATTATTAAAAAGTTTCTTATTTATAGCTGCTTTCAGTTACTTTTAAAAGCGTGACTTTACGTATTGCAGCGTGAAGGGAAGATGCTTGCAAGTGATTTGGTCAATATACCAAACATTCATTGATCCACTGTAAAAAAAAGATTACATTTATGGCAAGCATATGGTTTTTTCATTTAAAAGATCAGCCATAGCAAATTTTGTAAATATTTTTACTATTTCAGTTTAGCAATGCATTAGCTAAAAATATTAAAACAAATAAATTTCTGATATAAAAAAACTTCAGATGAACTTTTTTTTCAGATTATTATGATTTTTAACTGAAATTATTAGTCTAAAAAGTATTGATTTTCATTTCTTAATGTTAAATGTAATCGCTTTTTTGTTTCAAGTAGAGTTTTATTATTGGTTAGTAAAAAAAAGTGAATTTTAAAGTTTGCGTGGTTTGGAAAGGTTTCTATATTAATATTTTCTTATTAAAGTATGACATTAGGAAGATTAACAACTTGAGGCTCCAAGTAAATATTTACCCCGAGATATAACATATTGTTATAACATATTTTGATATAACATATTGTTATTATTATTTATGTTGTTATTATTATTATTTTCTAAAGTTATAATTTTACAAATAGATTAATTAGGTATATAAAAAAGCCTATCAACCTTTTGTTCTATTGTATCTAATTGTGTCGGTCTAATTGTTTATATGCAATTGTACATTTGATGAACCCACTATGCATCTAGATGTTTTTTAAATGTTTTAACAGATGTTGAACACTATTTCAGATGGTAAAATATTCTACAAAATTGTGAATTGCATACTAGAAAAGTTTTTTCCGGACATCTGTTTTACAAAACATTTTTTTCAATTTATAAGCATGATCGCATGTTTTTAAGTTAGAGTTAGTCATAATAGAGGAATAAAAACTTACTAAATAGATTTAAACAGCCAAATACTAACTAAATAAATTTAGACAGCCGTGGCGCAGTGGTAGCACACTTACCTCAGAAACGTAAGATCCGTGGTTCAAACCCCACCTCTGAGCAAGTTTTGCGACATCGGTAGGGAAAGAGGCGTGAACTTCCTATTAAATTCTCTTCCGCGGTGCTCTGTGATAAGACCATAAGGACTTCTTGAGGCACCTAAAATTAACATAAAATATATATATATATATATATATATATATATATATACATATATATGTATATATATATATATATACATATATAATCATATATTATTAATAAGAAGTGGCCATACTAACACCCATGCTATTACAACTCAGGTTAACTAATTAATGGTCTGTAATTACAATAATAAGTATAATGGCTGTGCAGATAACATCATTCTGACACAGGTGTTGATAGATAAAAAACTGAATGGTATTTAATGGAAATAAAAGGGTTGCAACTACAATTATAAAGATTGTTAATGCATTTGTAAGTTTCTGCCATTTCATTACATATAAAACAATTGCTCATGCTAGTTAAATTTAGTCTCAGTAGTCTTTATTTGTAAGTGAGTCCATTCTTGCTAAAAACAAATTTACTAGAATTGCATAGAACATTTTAAATTAATTGTTGACCTTTTTTTAAGCCTAGGATAGTAGACAGAGCTGCAAGTATCAAGGTGAGGACGAACAAGGAAAATAAACAAAGTACAAAATGTCAAGATATTGTGATTGACAAATAAACTTTCGATCATTTCTACAACTTTATTGGCGGCGTTATTCTTAGTACTTACAAAATAAAAGTCAAATTACTGTAAATGAAGATCCTTTTATTGACGAAATTTTTTAATATTAATTGAAGTACTGAGATTTTTATTAACGAGTATATAAATGAATTTTGTATTTGTTGGTCCTAAGGGTATAACTTTACATTTTTTCACATTGAAACTTAGTTTTCACAGTTTTGCATAGTTTGCTATAATGTCCATACTTTATTGCAAGTTATTGCATGGTGAGCTATCAAAAAGCAAACTGTATGACTTAGTATCAATTGTAAACACAGATACAAG